AGAGAAGCAAATAATGCATATTTATTTATAGATTTGTGGACTTTTTCAGTAAATAATTGCCAGGTACCTACTAGACACTGGAGATACTGCAGTGAACAAGGTAGAGGTGGTCCCTGCCAACGTGGAGAGTCTCAATTCTAGTGAGGGGCAGGAGGTGTCAAAGAATGAAAAGAAGAATATACTGTAATATAATCAACTATGTCAGGCCAGAAATGTCACATATGCTGTAAAGAATATAAACGAGATGTGGTGGTGGCTTCCTTTCTTCCTTCAGAAGGGAAGCCAAGGAACTATTTAAGCCCAACCCCAAGAAATGAGAAAGATCCAGCCACTCAGTGAATGCAGGGAAAAGCATTCCAGGCAGAGGGAACAGCATATGTGAAGGCCCTGAGCCAGGCCCTCTATTAAGCATTATGCATGGGGTATTTCTCCAACCGCCCCCCCACCCAGGTACATGCACTTATTATCATAACTAATGGATAACAAGGCTCAAAAAGGAGGAGGGACTCCCTTAACACCTGTATCCCTTAACTTGGTTAAGTGGCAGAGATGGGCTAGAAAGCAAGTTCATATTATCATCAAAGCCCATGCCTTGATCATGAACCTCAGCCCCTTTGTCCTCCTTCTAGAAAAGACAGACATCAGCCAGATCATGGGAGCAGGTGGCAGACACCTCCAAAGGGGTGAAGGGATATCCTGGCCCCACAGCCTAAGCCGCAGGCACAGCCAACAGCATCAGGGCCGCTTCACAGGTCTGCAGCATGCAGACTGTCACTGCCTGGTCAGAGAGCCAGATCCCAGACTTAAGCTGTGATTGTCTTGTCACTGTCAACGAGAGGTTCAGCCACAGCCATTAAGGAAAACCGAGGCTAGTTCTCCATTCCCCTTTCCTTGAGAGGGAATCATGGAGGCATGAAGACACATGGGAGAGAGGGATGGGGAAAAAGGAATAACAACACAATAGTAACAAAAATAGCAAAAACTGTACCAAACGTCCTGTGTGCCAGGCACTGTTCCAAGGGCTTCGAGTACACTAGCGTGTTTTGTCTTCAGAACAAGACTGTAACATCATCCCCATTTTGCAGATGGAAGAAACTGTGGCCCAGGGTTTTTGTTTTTTTTTTTTCCCAGACACATCTTGAGGCCTGTGGGATCTTAGTTCCCTCATCAGGGATGGAACCCATGCCCCCTGCAGTGGAAGTGCAAATTTATTCTTTTTCTAAAAAGTTTATTCAGATTCATTCTTAACCACTGAACTACCAGGGAAATCCCCAGAGGATCTTATAATTTACCCAAAATGACACAGCTTGTCAGTGGCAGAGCTGAGATTTGAAACCCAGTGGCTGACTCCTCAGCTCATATTTAAAAAAAAAAACAAAACAAACTTCTATCATAAAATAAGAAAAACTGAAAAATACCCTGGCATAAATGTACAGCTAAGCGAGACAAACAACCTTGTAACTGCCATATGGATCAAGAAATAGAACTTGGCGGGACTTCACTGACGGGCCATGGCTGAGACTCCTTGTGCCCAGTGCGTGTCCGGTTCGATCCATGGTCAGGGAACTAGATCCCTCATGCTGTAACTAAAGTTACCGCATGCTGCAGCTAAGACCCAGGGCAACCAAATAAATAAATAAGTATTTTGGAAAAAATAGAAGTTTGTCAGATTCCCCAGAAGCCCCTCTCTGTGCCCTGTCCCAATCACAGTGCTGTCCCTCTCTCTCCCCAAGTGTGTTAGTTGGGCAGTGGTGTCTGACTCTTTGCGACCCCATGGACTCCGCTAGCACCCTGCCAGGCTCCTCTGTCCATGGAATTTCCCAGGCAAGAATACTGCAGTGGTTTGCCATTTCCTTTTCCGGGGAATCTTCACCACCCAGGGATTGAACCCATATCTCCTGCATTGCAGGCGGATTCTTCACTGTCTGAGCCAGCAAGGAAGCCCAATCACAGTCCCCTCCCTCTCTCTCTCCCTAAAAGGAACCACTATTCAGACTTTTATAAGAATAATTCTCTTCTGTTTATTTATGGTGTTTTTTTTTTTCCAATTCAAGTGCACATCTCTAAACACTGTCATTTATTTAGGCCCACTTAAAAAAAAAACCAAAAACTTGATAACTTTTAAGTCTCTTTTCATCTACAAGTCCTCCATCCATCCCTTTCTTTTTCTTGTCATTTATATGTTGATGCTTTTGAGCCCTTTGACCTGTGAAGCTTCCCAGGTCTGAATTTTGCTGATGGAATAGTCAAGGTATGTCTCAAAGTGTTCTTCCATACTCTGAGTTTCCTGCCACTTGCCCACTGGAGCTAGAGGCAGTCGGGCTCGGGTTCTTTCCTCTCAGCAACCCCCCCCCCCAAGGGGTGTGTTCTTCTGTTAAGGGCACAGGATGTCTGTTTTTCTCTGTCTTTTGGTCAGAACCAGGCTCTCAACCACACTGCTATGAGTATGCTCCCTGGCTGCCCCTGGCTGCCCCCCGGCTGCCCTATGAGTTTGCTCCACGCTCTGGACCTATCTGTTAAATATGAGCCCTTTCTAAGCACCAGATATTCTGTTGCCGTGGCCCTGGCTCACACAAGGAAGCTGCTCCTCATAAGTCCCCCCTGAGCCCCGTCTTAATCACGCTCCACCCTCCAAGGTCTGGGTGGGATCAGGCCTTGCCTCCCTGACCAGCATTATCTCTGCTCCTTCCTCCAGCCCAGTATACCAGCCAAGTGGAATTCTGCTCCGTTTCCTGAAGAAGCCACACTCTCTCTTATCCCTGGGCCTTTGCTTTTGCTGTTCCCTTAATCAGAAACACTCCTCGCTTCAATTCCTCTGACTCGGCACAGCTGATCCTTCAGGTCTTAGCAAACCTGTCCCTTCCGCCCCACCAGATTGGTGGGTAGATTCTAGTACGCGCACTTCTCCTAGGCTAACCTCATAAGTAACCTGGTAAATAGCACTTCTACCACTACATCAGCCTTGTCTGCCTTCTTATCCTTTTCCCTACTAGAGTCTGAGCTTCTAAGAGACAGGGACTCAGGCAGAGGACCTGGTGCAGACTAGGTGCTCAATAAAAGTCAGTTGAATACATGCTTGAATGAGTGAATAAACTGGACTTTACAGGTCCAAGGAGACAAATCCAGGCTCAGTTTCAGGCCTCACAGACAATGAGAACTCTTCTAAGATGATACACCCGCCTGGGGAGAAGGTATAGAAAGAGTTCCTGCCTGGGATAGGGTTCATCCAGGGAAATGAGCCTCGGTTCTTGGAAAGGAAGAGAACCTCTTCTTCAAATGATCTTATTAGGAATGCCTAAATATACAAGTTCAAGGGGTTTCAGCACTGGAGGAGACAGAAGCCCCGCCTCTGGGCTTCCCCTGGTCCTGGGCATGAGGGCTCCTCTGAACAGTGGCCTGACACCTTCTCAAGTCCGTTTATCATAGCCGCCGTGTCTGTGACTTTAGCAAACCACAATACTGAGGACAGAAGTTGACGCGCTAACTCTATTTTCTCCCTGTGGTGCCCTCAAGGGCTCATCCCTGTCAGCTGACAGGGATGCTAGGCCACTGGATTTCTGAAACAGTGTGGATCTGGAGTCGGTGGGCACAGCTGGGTACAGCAGCAGGCAAGGCTGCAGATCTGCCCACCAGGGCGCAGAGCCAAGGGCTTAGTCTCAGAATTGGATTATTCCAGTGAATTCGGAGCTCCCAGCCCCCCTGACTCTGGGGATTCAGGGATTACCCAAGCCTCTAGAGGGTGGGGCCGGGGGGGAGCCCACCATCCTCCTCTAATGGATCTGATAACATGGATCCTCTCTCTGTGGCTACAGAGAGGCAGGGGATTGTCTACTTACCTCCCGCTTCCAGCCTGCAGCCCACAGCCTCCATCAGCTACGTCCCCTGTGCCTGGGATGTTCAGCCATGTTATTCCAGTTGAGGTCCTGAGAGCATCAGCATCCCCTGAAGCTTGTGAGAGATACAACTTCACGAAGTCTGTCCCAAACACTGGACCTGAATCATTGGGTTGGGGGTGCCTAATAAACCCTCCAGGTATTCCTGATGAGCAAACTCAAGTTTGAGAACCCCTGGCTTGGAGTCCATGTTCCATCCCACACACCAGTCAGATTATGCCTCAAGCCTGTCAAAAGATTCTGGGCAACTTGTGCCCACAGACTTCTCCTTCAGACTCCTTTAAGCCTTTGATTAGAGAAATTAATGACAGTGATTACAATGGATCCTGTTTAATAATGCCACCTTGCACTATTTCAAGGCCTCTGGAGGTGGGCACTGCAATACCCCGAGATCATTTACAGTGGACTTTATTATCCCCTTATTGCACATGAGGAAACTGAGGTTCAGAGAGGAGATGTGGCTGGCCCAAAGTCACACAACGAGCATAATAAATCCAGGACCCTGGATTTATTTATCCAAGCATTTATCCTGCTTCTCGCTTGGTGGAGAGAATGAAGGCTGATTCTACATCTGTCTTCTCACACACTCTGGGATTTCCTCCTGGGCAAAAACCGTGTTATCACTTCCTCAGGAAAGCCTCTCCTGACCTCCCGGGAGAGTAGTCCAGACCTCCTTATTCTACCCCACCAAAGGTCCCCGCGTTTTTCCTTAAAAGCAGGACCGCAATTTGTAATCACATATGGATGTGATTATCTCCTGTCGGTCTCCCCAAGCAGTGAGAAAGCTCCAGGGAGGCGGGAAGTGAGGCAGACCCTGCTCCAGGGTTTGCGCAAGCCACATCCAGTCTCCTTTCCTTATAGAACTTGACTCTGTTCGGGGCAGCGCTGTGTTCAGCTACATCCGTATTTGCCCCAGTCTCCCTTTCAGTTAAAGGTACCGGGTTCTGGCTTCTGAGATGAGTGTGGAAGAGGCTGGGGACCTCGCGGAACTCAACACAAGGCGAGTGCAGGAAGGTTTTTGAGCCAGTTCCCCGAGTGTAGCTGGTACTCAGGAAATACATGTATCATCTAACCAGGCAGGAGAAGCAGAACCCCAAAGCCGCCTTCCTCTTGGAAATGTTTTTATTGGTTCTGAGATAACAGGGCTGAGGCGAGCTGGGACGGGCACAGAGCTAAGGAAGGTGGTGAGAGGCTCTGCCCTGGGGCAGACATGCTGTGTGGGCCCCCCCACCCCAGCCAGCGGCGGCTGGGTCCGCGGCACTCGGTGCCCGGCCTGACCTCTGCCGGCCTGGCATGGTGGCCTCCTCGTTGGCGGGCGCCCCCCCTTTCCAGTTGCAGGAGTCGTGAGTCTTTTTCACAGTGCGGAGGGGTGGGGGTCCGGGGTGGGCACCTCCCCGGGGTGCAGGCAGGCCCCGTCCGCCAGTACATCCTGGGCTCTGGGCGGCGGCGGCGGCGGCGGCGGCGGCGGCGGCAGCGGGGTGAGGCGAGCTCAGGCTCTTCTCCCGCCCCGCGGAGCTTGGCGGTCCTGGAGGGGCCCTGGCGGCCTCAGCGGGACATCATCCGGACAAACTCTGCGGTGGGGGTGGGGGACGGGCGGGGGTGGGGAGAAAGCAGCAGTCAGGGTGCAGGACACTAACCCCACACCTTCCTCAGATCGCTGCCTCCCTCCCCCGTCTGTGGCCACCGCCTCTGACCGGTGCTGGTCCTGTGTCCATCTGGCATGGTTTTTTGGTTTTTTGGTCTCACCCACCACGTGGCACGCAGGATCTTAGTTCCCTGACCAGGGATTGAACCCAGGCCCCCTGCAGTGGGAGCATGGAATCCTAGCTGCCAGACCACCAGGGAAGTTCCCCATCCAGCATCTTCCAATCCCTCTTCTTTGCAGCAGCCAGCAGGATCTTTCTATCTGTACCTGTGACCCCTTTCAAACCTCTCATGGTCCCCACAGGGCAACGGGAACAACCCCAAGGCCTCCCTGTTCTGGCCCCAGTTGACAGCTCCAGCCTTACCGGTCACTACTCATCCCCCACCACGAAGTTCGACTCCACGGATCCCCTGTCTGCACCTCAGGTGGAGCTGACTACCTCCTCCCCTCCCCTCTTAGCTTTTCTGCAACCTGTCCCACTCCCTTCTCTTTTAACTAGACTGTTTTTTAGAGCAGTTTTAGGTTCACAGCAAAATTGAGCAGGAAGTCCAGATTTTTTCATCTACCCCCTGCCTCTATACACACACACACACACACACACACACACACACACAGCCTTCTCCATCACCAACATCCCCGAAAGTCGCTTCAGTCGTGTCCAACTCTGTATGACCCTATGGACTGTAGTCCCCCAGGCTTCTCTGTCCATGAGGATTCTCCAGGCAAGAATACTGGAGTGGGTTGCCATGTCCTCCTCCAGGGGGTCTTCTCCAACCAGGGATCGAACCCACGTCTCTGAGTCTCCTGCGTTAGCAAGTGGGTTCTTTACCACTAGCACCACCTGGGAAGACCTGGAGGCTCTGTGGGTTTGGACAAATGTATAATGATATGTATCCCTATTATAGTATCACACAGAATAGTTTTACTTTCCTAAACATCCTCTGTGTTCCCCCTATTCATCCCTTCTGCCATGAACAACTCTTGGCAACCACTGATCTTTTCACTGTCTCCGGGTCTCCATGGTTTTGCCTTTTCCTGAAGGTCAAATCATTGGAATCACAGAGTACGCAACCTTTTCAGATTTTCTTTTGCTTACTGTGCATTTAAGTTTCTTCCATGTCTTTTCATCACTTGATAGCGTGTTTCTTTTACAACGCTGCATAATATTCCATTGCCTGAGTATACCATAGTTTTATTTATATATTCACCTAGTGAAGGGCATATTGGTTGTTTCCAAATTTTGGCAATTATAAGTAAGGCTGCTATAAACAGTAAATCTGTTTGTAGGTTTTTGTGTAGATAAGAGTTTTCAATTCCATAGGGCAAGTATCTCTTCCTTCTTTTTCACCTGGTGACTCCTCCTTGTCTCTTAGGGCTCTGCTTACTTACAGCCTCCTCCAGGAAGCCTTCCCTCATCCTCGCCACTTTGGCAAAGGTGCCCCCACTGGATGCAACAGCCTGCTGTACTTGCCCCCAAATAGCATCGACTATACTGTCGGTTCTCTTTTCCTTGCTGGTCATGGGCTCCTCAAGGTGGGGGTCAGGTCTTGGCACACAGCTCGTGTACAGCACATGCTGGTAGAATGAATGGGAGACACTGGGCTTTCAGAGAAGAGCTGTCATCTGTAGGGGTCACTACCTGGACACGGGGTACCTGAAATGTTCAGGTCTGGTGGTAGCCAAGCCTTTGGTAGCCAAGCCTCTCCACTGCCACACTCTCCTTGACCTTGAAGACCAGCTACTCCCCAGAAAAGGCCTCCCAGCCTTTGTGTTCTGGACATATTCACAGTCTAGCTCATGTTTATCTTGCCTTTCTGCTCAGCACCCAAGTTTATGGAGTGTAGAATCAGTGTTTTGCTGTGTTTTTCCCCCCTGTATCCCATGGTGCCTCAGATGGTGTCATGAACAGTGTAATGTATGGAATGGCTGAGATTCCAGGCCTGAATTTAAGACCCAGCTCTGCTTCTCTGTAAGAGAAGCAAGTTATATTACTTCTCTGAGGCTCAGTTTACTCAATTGTAACATGAGGTAATAATAGTGCAGTCCCTGGAGTCATTGTAAAAATTAAATGGGATAATACATGTAAAGTTACTTAGGACAGTGACTGGTATATAATAAATGTTCAGTTCAGCTCAGTTCAGTCGCTCAGTCGTGTCCGACTCTTTGCGACCGCATGGACTTCAGCATGCCAGGCTTCCCTGTCCTTCACCAACTCCCAGAGCTTCCTCAAACTCATGTCCATTGAGTCGGTGATGCCATCCAATCATCTCATCTTCTGTCATCCCCTTCTCCTCCTGCCTTCAACCTTTCCCAGCCTCAGGCTCTTTTCCAATGAGTCAGTTCTTCACGTCAGGTGGCCAAAATATTGGAGTTTCAGCCTCATCATCAGTACTTCCAATGAATATTCAGGACTGATCACCTTTAGGATGGACTGGTTGGATCTCCTTGCAGTCCAAGGGACTCTCAAGAGTCTTCTCCAACACCACAGTTCAAAAGCATCAATTCTTTGGTGCTTAGCTTTCTTTATGATCAAACTCTCATATCCATACATGACTACTGGAAAAGCCATAGCTTTGAATAGATGGACCTTTGTAGGCAAAGTAATGTCTCTGCTTTTTAATATGCTGTCTAGGTTGGTCATAGGTTTTCTTCCAAGGAACAAGCATCTTTTAATTTCATGGCTGCAGTCACCATCTGCAGTGATTTTGGAGCCCA